CAACTTGTTTTCTTTAATAATTTTTTTCGGTCAAATTAGAAAATTAAATTTAAAGTAAAGAAAGCAAACACTTAATTCGTTTTTAATCAACGAATCAAATCGATTCGGTATCGCGGCCGGCGATCTGAATGTGTCTCCATATACATAATATTCAATTCGAGCATCGGGCGAGCGCGAGCACGCATCGATGCGTCGCCGGAATGACGACGCGGCTGAGAAAACCACCGCTACGTCCGCGATCCGCTCGCGTTTTCTACACGCGCGCGTAACTTTGGTTACGGCTGCCGCTCCTCGCCGCCGCGCCGCCGCGGCCATTGGACGGCCATTCAATTGGTAAAAGTGATAGTTGTCCAGGCAGCCGAACGCGGAATCGACGGCGACGACGACAAAGTCACAAATCTAGATCAGACGGGCAGAAGCACGCCGCGAAGACGCTGAAGAAGAAGAAGAAGAAATCCGAGCTGTACGGCCGGACAATGAAAGTAGATCGGTTTTTCTTCTGCGCGCTGCCTAATCTCACCGCGGCTAATTAAAGCAGCTGTAGACGGAAGCGTTTAGTTTTTGGATAAATCAATCTCTCGATGCGCGCCGTTCGGAAAGTTCGAAATCCGGTTGAATGTGGGCCTCGCCGATGAAGAAAATTTGGAGCGGACTCGGCGATGCATAAAATCGCTCGAAAATGCTATCGACAATAGAAATCTACGCACTTTGTATCATTTGCTGCCGCGTTCGCTAATAACCAGCTAATAACTCATCAATTAAAATCGATTATTCATCGATTGACAAGCGAACTTTCTGTTTTCGATACAAATTTCAACTTTTCACGTAATTTTAGTTTTTCTACGCAGTGTAGTACCTATATTCAAATTGTGGTTTAATTAATCAAAAGAAGACTGATACTGATACACTTGGCTGAAAAAAGTCGCGAGCCAACAAATAAACGTATCGCTTGCGTCGATAAATCGAGCACTTTCTCCGCGCCGCGCGCGCATGGATATGCGCTTATTTACTTTGCGCTTATAACTTAGTTACATTCGTCTTTGTCGTCGTCTTCTTCTTGTTTTAATGCGTTGCGCCGGCTGCGCTCGGACAACGCGAACACTTGGCGCGCTCGGAAATTGGTGCAGTTTTCGCGGAGCGACGAAGAAAGGAAGCGCGACGTTCGCAAACTGACCATTAGCGCTTGATTTGCGAGCGTTTCGCTAGCGCTGCCTGGCTGATATATTGCTCCATATTACTGGCGCGCCGGGGCCAAGCCTAGATCTCGCGCAGTGCGCGCCGAAAGAAAGAAAGCTGCCCGCCGATTTTGTTTATCGCCGCTCGTGGACAATCCGCGCGCGCGCGCCCGCGAAACATCGAAACGTGGAAAACTCGCGGCGCTGTCGGCCACAACTTACGACTCTATATTCATCCTGTGCAGCGCGTTCATTGAATTTTAAATCCGCGCGAATAAAACCTAAACATTTTCACGCTTATGCACTAAGTAGCAATTTAAGTCATAAAACATCACGCCGGTGGATTTGATCGACGCGAATCGATTTTTCCCAAGCGACACGCCCGAAATGATTACTGAACACCCGAGAAAAAGCAACAAGTAGAACATGAAGACGAACGGGACGAGTTACAGTTGTAATTTCCAGCCGCGCGGCTCATCCGTGCATCGATTTTATTGCAAGAAATTGAAATTCTTCTCCGCGCCGGCTCCTGCTCCTTCGGGTTGAGCACAGCGGCCAGAAAACGAGCATCAGTTATGTTAAGTGAGGCGTAATCAAGCCAGCCGTGCGGATAATAAATATCTACTCCACATTCGCAGCGATACTCATCCACTGAGCGTTTTGATAAATCACGCATTGTTTGCGGTGATTCTTCCAGCGTTTGCGGAGGTATTAGTCGCCCGGTGTGCGCACGACGTGTCGGACGTGTTGATCTTTAATATCTGGGCGAGCGGGCGCATAAGGCGATCGCGGCGCGGCGCGGAAAAATGCGGAAAATGAGAAATCTGCGCGGCGGCTGCGCGCCGGCCAACCTTTGATCCCAATCGTCTTGCGGACGGTTTCTGCACCTGTAAACACTACTTGGTGCGCGCGCGCGATGCGAAAAATGCGCGGTTCTACTCGACCGGATCGCAATTTTAGTGAATGAAATGAAGTGGGAGCGGGCATAAATCAATAGCACGCGAAATACGATTCTGCGGCCGGCTGGGTGAAAACACACTCAAACCACAATTGCGAAGAAATCGGAAAATGTGCGAAGAAGCGAAGAGATTTAAAGAAATCCGTACTTTTTTGTGTAAAACTAAAACTTTCATTTTAGTTTTTTTCTCACAAAAACAAACGAATTTCAATAAAAATCGTCTTAAAACATACGCAGACATAAAAGCGCTATCGATTTGAATGCTCAATGGTGATTAATGATCGAAATATTCAATATCTGCTCAAGCGCGCGTATCTTTTTCAGCGTGCGTGCAACTTTTTTCGGATGTTGCTTTTTTCGTAGCGAAAGAGCATTAAATTTTAATGGCATTCCGCTCCTCGACGGATTTCGTCCGCGTCGACGCTAATTGAGTTCACTTGTCCGCTCCGCGAACGCACCGAATGAGTCGGCAGCGTAACTAGGACTATACTTAATTCAATTAGGGCGATAATCGACAAATAATCACTGGTCGCAGCGCGCAGTCATCATAACTCGGCTAGATCAACGCCGGGCGCGAAAAGAATCCGACAAAAATGAAAGCAAACACCTGAGAAAACGCCATCCTCACACGTGTGGCAAGGTGGAAATCGGTTCCAAGTCGAATACAAAAAAAACTAATGAGCATAATGACGCTGAGATAATTTAATTAAGATTATCATGTGAAAGGGCTAGTTACCTACCGGAATGATCACCGTAACAAGTTGTTTTTACAAGTTGACAGATTGTGCGATTGCATCGAGATTAATGTGTGCAACAGGAGCGCTCGTTAATCAACAGTGTGAATCATTAGTATTAGACGTAGGATTCGGCTTCGAAAATTTATCCAGCGTAGCATCTGGCATCGATTTCCGAGAGGTCAGAGATCAAACGACGTCGCACTCCAACGCAGCTCCTGATAAAATGTCAATTCCGGCGATAAAACGTACTTTTCGACGGTTTCGGCGCGCGCGTTCACCTCGCAGACAAAGTGATCTTTAAAATTCGTGTGGCGCGTACACACGTCATCAAAAATTCAGACGCTTTGGGAAAAAATCCGTCTCGCCCACGCGCTGTGTGAATAAATTTACGAATAGTTAAATTTGTAAGAGTTTTAAGTTAAACTTCAAAGTAAAACTTTATAATTTATAATTCATCCCCGGTTATTTGTTTGTTTGAGAATGGTAACAGGACAAAGCGCTTTTACGTAACGTGCGCACTCGAGGAATAACAACGCGCGCGCGGGTTGGCGACTTGCGACTTTCTTAGCCTGCGAGAAAAGCGAGCGTTCCGCGCGCTCGCGGGTCTTATCTGTTCGCATGTCCGGACATGCGGACGTAACGGACGCGGCGCTCCAGCCTCGCCAGCTAGCTCCAGTTCTCGTACGGTAATCTTACCTTTTTTTTCCTTGCTGCTTTGCGGTGCGCGCGGCCGAGAGGGCCGAAGGAAGGAGGAAGCCCTGCGGGCGTGCGCCGCGCGCGACGGTACGACATGCTACGTGCGGCACGCCACGATGCGTACCGATAACACGACCAGGGAAACGTGTTAACAAATGCCCTGCAACGGTCACCGCCGCCGACAGCGCACAAAAATGCACCGGCAGTCGTCGTCTAGCTGAAAGTGCAGGGGAGACTTCAATTCAGTTCTCAATTTGAGCAAGCACTCTATAATAATGTATTTACACTCACCTGTTTCTCGTTCAACAATCACGATTGGCAGCGTGGTGTAACTGTTGTGCACATCGCGAATAAAGAAAATGCAGTGCAGGCGATAACCTTAGTTCGTTTTTGCCGCCTAATCTGGAGGTGGTTCAATGACCTCTGAAATTTGAAAAATCACAATGGAATTAATTAAAATCTGTAAAATCGTACAACAATTAAAGAAAAACAATGAAATAAGTTAAAAATAGGCTGTAGACATGGAATATATCACAGAATATTATGGAATATACTCAAAACTTACTTTTTCAAGGACGTTGAGCGTGATTCAAACAAAAACGAAATTTTGACAATTCTGTGGCTGATCTTCTGCGATCCACTGCAATCAGCAACTGTTTTACTTAGTTTTACGTTTATAAAGTCTGATTAGTGTTTTAAATGTTACACTTTGTGTTTTGCACACTTTTACAACAGGTTTTCGGTTTACACTTGTTTGCTATAACGTTCTGCAACGACTGCACAAACCGACGCCTTCCCGGTTTTTTCTCCCTGCAGTCGTGCCACACTAACAGGCGCATGAGTAATACCAACCTATTTTAAACTGACCTGCGCAAAACAAACAAAATTTTGAAATTTGACATTTTAATGTCAAATCACACCATTTATTGTTTTAAATATTCACTACTAATTAATTCATGCTGGTAAGCTTATTTAAAAGATATATTTATAGACAATTGTAATAAATATTGATTATCCTTGAGTTTTCATATAATTTTATTCAAAACAATCGATGTTTTGATGGAATGTAGCACGAATTCGGGCTATTTAACAGCGAAATTTAAATTACAAGCCACGAACGAAACATATGGCTGTAGTTGTTGTACGCGATGGAGGCGCGTTGATAAAAAGTGAAACGTTTGCGCAGCCTCTCGCCTCTCGCGCGGCGAATATCTACGTTTCATCAATTGTAGCATTTGTACGAACATTAGTTATTCTTATCAAGCGTTCGGCGCGTTCGTCACTGCTGGCTGTATAGCCATCAGGCGCAGAGCTATCAACCACGTCACATCGACGTTTCTAACCGCACTTTTCTGACATTTACCAGTGAAACATTCACGGTTTCCTTCTCCTGCCATGTTCAAATAAAAAAACGTGTTCTCTTTCTGTTTGCAGATCCCAGAATCCTTAATGAACATTGTGGACCAATCGCTACCGTCGTGGCTCCGCTACCTGCCCCCGAAACCGCCCTCGTCGTCATCGCACACGCCGTACCCCGCCGCTTCCAGCCATCGCAGCGCCGCCGCCGCCGCCATGAGAGAGAAGGACTCGTCGCCGCGCAAGATGCTGGTAGCGACGAGCGGTCACAGCAGCCCCAAGCAAGCGGCGGTTTATCCCCTCTCAGTACGCGTGCCGCCTCCGGATGACGACGCGCCCTTTGATCTGTCATCGCGTAAGAGCGCAGCGTCGCCCGTCCCACGCGGGCCACACATGTCGCCTGCCAGCCGACCCGCCGCCCAGGAAGAGGCGGAATATGAACAGCCACTGGACCTGCGCGTTGATCACAAGAAATCCATACTGCGCGCTGCCGCCGCCGCGCGTGGCCTTGGTAAAGACGAGAATTCGAACGTGATTGCATCGGAGACGGATAAAATGGGCGGGACACTGCCGCCCCTGCCGCCTACAGCTCTTGGGCAAGGATCACTTGGTGTTGGTAACTTCCCAGTGCTTTTCCCACCGCAACCCATGCATCCGATGATGCTGGAGGCGATGTATCGCGCGCAGAGTAAAGTACCCATACAGTATCCGCGTTATCCGCCATTCCTGCCCACATCAATGCTGTCCCCGACGTCTCCGTCGTTTGACCTGCTCCGGGCGCCTACCCTGACACCTGTGAGTAAATTTGATCCACCTACACCCACAGCCACTACGAATCTACCACCCGGAGGCGGTGGGGGTACCGGGGGTAGTGTTGGTGGTAAGGTAAAGGATCGCTACGCCTGTAAATACTGCGGTAAGGTATTCCCACGTTCCGCGAATCTCACGCGCCACCTCCGGACGCACACTGGTGAACAACCGTACAAATGCCGCTACTGCGAGCGCTCATTTTCGATCTCCTCCAACCTGCAGCGGCATGTACGCAACATCCACAACAAAGAAAAACCATTCAAATGCCCATTATGCGAGCGTTGTTTTGGTCAACAGACTAATCTAGACAGGCATTTGAAGAAACACGAAGCCGACGGTCCTACTATCCTCGATGAACGCGCGCTCCAGCGGCGCTCGTTCCAAGGACGCGCGCTCAACGAAGAGTCCTACTTCGAGGAGATCCGTAACTTCATGGGTAAGGTAACAGAAGGGAGACTGGCGCTGGGCGCGCCGAGTTTCGAGCGGTTGGAAAAACTCGAACGTTTTGAAAAACTCGGATTGTTACCGATTAATCAACTCGCTGGACTTGGAGCCGCCGCGCAGAATAACAACAACGATGTGTCCACCATGAACAACAACCAAATCAAGGCGGAAAAAGTGGATGATATACCGGAGAAGATGGATGCGGATGCGAAGGATGTGGAGGTGAAACTCGAGCGGGATTATTGCAGTTCGAGATCATCGACGCGCTCATCAAGCGCGGCGTCCAGTCGATGTGACAGCGTGGATAAAGAAGATAAACTTGACCGGATGGATGCGAAAGACGACGAGAATCAGGATAATAACAATGTGCCGATCACGATGACGATGACGACGCGGCGGAGGAAGGCGTCGTGATCGTGTGTAGGTCTAGCGAGGTAACAAAAATTCTTTAAAAAAAATGATTTTTTACAACATCAGGGGTGATTTTTGTTCGGTTTCCTTCACTATTCGTTAATTATTTGTGTCTACACGCGAGGAAAACACTGCGGATTCTTCCCAGACGACGCACTAATTAATTACACTTCTTTCTTGCTTGTTTCATGTGTTTCTGTTGCATCTTCGGCATTTTTTCCCGACCGCTTACGTATGAAAACGTAACGTTTTCCACTTTTAACGAGTCGCTTTAATTGCCGGCGTGATTTCTGCGATTTCTTCGATTCCCCGGACAGTTACGGCTAATTAATTGCCGTATAACTCGCCGCTGACATTTAAAGCGCTAAACGGCGAGTAAAAACAACAATTAATTGATTATCGCATTCGATCGCCGGCAGTGTGCGCTTTTCAGCCGCGTTTTCGCCGCCTAAAATTTATCCGCGCGCGCTGTGCTCGCCGCGTCTCTTGGGTGGAAGATGTTGAGATTGAGAAACTTATGATTTATGTGCGCGCCGCGCGCGCGGTTAATTCGCTCGGGCCGCTCGTTAGCGATATAAACATGTCACATTTGACGCCAACGCGCCGCCGCTCTTTAACGAGGCATTAAATGGTCGCGCGCGCGCGCCGCGATCGAAAATTGATTCGAAAAGATTCATGAGTGTCGCCAGCGCCGAGGACAAATTGATCTCTAATATATTATTACCATTCGAATGCGCGAGTTGTGAGTTGTGTGTTGTTACGCTGTGCGTTAACATTGAATCACTTCGCTCTCGTTTTCGACCGGCTCGGGCGGACTTAATTGATGCCCGCCGTATTGTTCTCGGCGCGCGCGCTGATGCAAATTGCAATGCGCAAGAAGCCCGCCGAAGACGCGCGCCGCGCACAACAATGTCGAAAATTGAATGCAAGGTCGCGGCGCGGGCGCTCCAATTCTCAGCGGCTCATTCATCGCGCGGTGTTTCGCGGTGCTCGTTAATAACGGCATAATAGCGCTAATAACCGCACGCCGCAAGACAATACACGTGGATTACCTCATCGCGATCGCGAAAACGAAAACGAAACTAAATTGTCGAAATAAATAAAAAAATACTTGAATAATACACACAGCATCCACCGGAAATCGATTTCGTTGTGAATCGAGTGCCACCCGTCGGGTTCTTGTATCCAACGGGAGGAAATTGCCTAAAATCAACGCGTAATGCGATCTCCGCGACAGGAAGTCGCGCCTAATCACCGATCGCGCCAAAAACACTTTCGTCTGCCTGACTTTCATCGCTTCATCTTCTTAATACCGGTCATTTTCGGGTCTGTACTTGTTAACAACACACTTTAACACGTTGGGAAGTTTTGTTTTAATTTCCGGTGCGCGGTTATTTACTCTTGAACTGTTTTCTTCTTCTTTTCACCGCTGTATACTTAAAAATCTTTAAGATTTCCAAAGGGTCTTTGTGCACTTTGTTCTTCTATTGATCACAGCACGTAAAAAAAGCGCGCGATGTGAACGAAAACGAAAGCAAATCGAGAGCAGTCATTAATAACGACTTAATCATAACTTAATCGTTTCATTAGAAGTCATCACGGCGTAATCGCTCGATCTGATTGATCCATCGTTTGGTGGACGGATCGATTTCTATTTCGTTACGTCAGCCATTTTTTTTTTCGGCCGACGAATTTCTTTTTTTTTTTCAATTTCTTCTGCACCGGATTTTGTTCTGCTGATCTTTTATTTCATGCCTTTCAATTAATTTCCTTCAAGTCTTCTTCACGGCTGATAAGAACGAAATAGAAATTCCGCGGCGAAGAACTGGAGCGGACGCCGGGCGCCCTCCGGCGGATCTCTAATAATTGTGCGGCTCGAATTTTTGACTCACAATCATTTACAGCGACGTCGGCATTAAATGCAAATTGCTCCAATTTCCAGGCGTGCGCGCGAAGCGCAAGTGGCGACGTTTTTACGCGCGCGATTTCTAATGTCATCGTAAAACCTAATTAATTCACTTTGCGCCGCTCGACGCTCGTTTTCGTTAATTAATTAAGTGATAAACATTTCGTACTGCGTGTCGACTGCTACTGTTTCTGCTTTCTTTCGCTGCATGTTACACAATTTTCGGTGCGGATGAAATTTTTCGATGATATTCTGCGCTCGAAATCCAATGAACCGAAGAAGCGCGCTGTTGTGGAAAAAAGCGCGCCGCGCTGAAATTGATGCTGATGAATACGTATAGTAATTGCCGGCTGGTCGAGCAGAACAAGAGCAGGAACCGCTCGCGGTACGTGCGGCGTCTTCCTGCAAGTAGGCTAAGCCTAACCTCGCGCGCAATCGCCTTCTAACGGTAACTTCGTCGCAGTCATCTTCATCTTCTTCTTCTTGGTCTTCTTCTGCGGGCACTTCTGGTCGTAACATGTAATGTGTATCAACTTTTTCTTTTGTGTGCCGGTCGCTCTTTGTGTGCGCTGAGCTATGCTGAGCGCATCACAACACTTTTTGCGCGTTTGATTCTTTTCGGTTTCTTAATTCTATTTGATTTGCCTAACCGACACCCACCGATGTGCGGCTTTGTTGTCCACATCAAGATAAACACGTAGACGTTTAGACGAGTTTTTAACCGCCACCGGAGGCTGGAAACCGTTAGAATCACCGCGCCGCATTTTCCACTCGCTTTCCACTTGATTCAACAAACAATAAATTTCATCGCGAAATCATTCACACTCGGCTGGATTTGTTAATTTTATTGTGCGTTGTGTTACACACTGTGCGAATTATTGCACAAATAAATCACGCACGAATTAACGAATCATCAAAGACTCATCAGCGCGCTAATAAACTCATCAGCAACATTAATTAATTTCTAATGCATCACTTTTCACTTTCCACGCTCGGCGTATGAATTTTCCTGCGTTTTCTTGACTTTTCCGTGTTGCCAACTTTCTTTTCATCGCAATAATTAAAAGCGCGCAAATCACCTAATTTTTTCGCTCCTCATTTCCTCAATTTTCACATCATCCACGAAATGCAGTGTTTCTTCTCGGTGCATACATGATGAAATTCAGCGAGACTTCCTACTACAAACGCATGTGCCACAAACGAAACAAAAACCGTACAAAACAAACAAGTACAACTAATTTTACACGTTTAACTAGTTTACTCTCACTTATTATACATTTTTATATAAAACAGTTACCAGTAAGTCTAGGAAGTAAAAAAAAAAAGTGATATGGAAATTTTCCCCGAGAAAAAAAAAATCACCCCTGTGCGAATACAACGAATTTTTGATCCAAAATTCCACACACAACGAAAGTACAATCCTACGTAATCACGCAACGAAGACGCACGTAAACTAAATTAATATATAGGCGCCTTAAAGTTAAAACCTACGATAAACATGTAACAAGTAACGCTCGATATATTTAACAATATGTGTTCCTTTTTATTTCCGACGTCGTACAATCTTCCTGCCTGCGATGAAGCTGCAAACGCTTTTCTTGCGAAACTCTTAAGGTTTAATGATAGATGTTAATTAATCAATTAATTAACTCCAGCTAGCCCGGCTGTCGTGAGCCGGGAGGAACTCTACGAATTTGTTCCTAATGTGTGTGTGAATGCGTTTTATTTTTATAAAAATAAATAAATGTAATTTTATTCTTAAATATGTAAAAAAATTTGTATAGTTTGTAAACTCAACGATGCACGATTCACTTTAATTAATTTTATTAATTAAGTCACCTACGATCATAGTTACCTATGTAGATGTATAATACTGTAATTGTTTGTGTTTTATATTTTTTCTTTCTGTAAAACAGAATGCGTTGTTCTTAGAGCTCGTTAAAATGACAATTTGAACGGCGTGTGCGTTCGATGACGCAGCGTTCCGCGCGCACAGGACACAGGAGACATAGTCAATTAGATGGTTACCAATTAATTAATATGTGTACGTACTTAAGCTTTATTTAATTTAAACAGCGCGAGCATATTCTCGAACGGAACGTCTTGTAGTCATATCATATCGGAAATTTTTGTAACATTTGTGTTTTTTTTTTGTGTATTTTGGATTTCGTTTCGTAAGTGTATATTGTTTCTATTTCTATTTTGTATAAAAAAAACACAACACACAGGTTAATTATTAAAATGCCACACACTTTCAACGCATTTTTTGTACATGGCATGAGTAATGACACCGGTTGCTTGGCGTGCGGATGGATTTACAACAATTATGTCTCTGTCAAAAGTGTTACACATTTTTGAGTTTTGTCTTGTCTTTAAACTACTACCTACTATTAGCTTGTAAGTTAATGCAATTTGTGTAAACACGAAATTTTTATAAATAAAAATTTACATGAATTTTCTTTCTTGTGATTTTTTTTTTTTTTTGATTTTAGCGTTTTTGTTGAAGGTAAGTAAAATATGCATTTTTTGGGGTACCAGGAGAGGTATGCAGGTAGATTTGCTTTTAGGGGTTAGGGATGTTTTAAGGCATTTTGTGATTGGTTTGAGGGTGAAATGCAGGTAAACAGGTATACACCCTTGATGGTAGGCACAATAGAAGAAGGTGTGTCTTCTAAACTTGAAATTATTTGTAAAATTGAATATTTTGAGTGAAAAATATTGAAAAACCAATAAAAAACGAAGAAATCTTCTATAAAATCTATAAAACAATGTTTTATGTGTTGTTATTTGATGGTATGTCTATCACATGGTACCCCTCGAGTGGTAGACCTTCAGTAGACAAGCAGGGTCTTCCTACATGCTCGGAAACAAACAAAAAGATCAAAATTTATGCGAAAAAATCTTCTTTAAACGAAATTTATAGTAAAACAAAGTTTTCTATGATTTTCTTTAATGGTATGTCTATCACATGGTACCCCGCGAGTCATAGACCTTCTTCAGACAAGATGGGCCTTCCTAGTTCCTCGGAATCAAACAAAAAGATCAAAATTTATGCAAAAAATCTTCTTCAAAGGAAATTTTTAGCAAAACAAAGTTTTCTATGATTTTCTTTAATGCTACGTCTATCTCATGGTACTCCTCAAGTCGTAGACCTTCTTTAGACAAGCAGGGTCTTCCTAATCGCTTGGAAACAAACAAAAAGATAGAAATTTACCAAAAAAATCTTTTAAACACCAAATATTTAGTAAAACAAAGTTTTCTATGATTTTCTTTGATGGTATGCCTATCTTATGGTACCCCGCAAATCGTAGACCATCTTTAGACAAGCAGAGTCTTCCCAATCGCTTAAAAACAAACAAAAACAACAAAATTTATGCAAAAAAATCTTTTCAAAACAAAATCTTCAATAAAACAAAGATTTCTATGATTTTTTTCATGCTATGTCCATCTCATGGTACCCCATGAGTCGTAGACCTTCCATAGACGTGCAGGGTCTTCCTGCTCGCACGAAATTTATCCAATTTCGCTCGTCGACGTGTCGGCGTCGGCGTAACGCGATCCGTCCGTTGGCGCTCCGGCGGCTTTGGCGTGGTCGCCTTATAAACCGATTGAATTTTCTATCGGCTCGTAATTGACCTTAACATTTACGCGCCTGCCGCGCGCGCGGCGCAAGTAAACAAATCACAATTAATTCTCACACGCTCGTCGCCGCCGCAGCGAGCGCGCTTGGGAGAATTTTTTCACATCGCATAGGAAGCGAATAAATTAAGCGCGCGTAATGAAATCGAATGGTCGGCTTGCCTTTTTCGAGCAGCCGCTCGGCGCGCGAATAAAATTTTTACGAGTTTCGCGCCGGGATCGATTCCACATTTAATATGCCGTTTCACACAATTAAGTCAACCTCACACACCATCGCCGCGCGACTTAATTAGAAAATCAATATATCACACCCAAACGATGAAAAAATCCCAAACACACAAAACAAAAAAACGTAGCGTCATCTTAGAAATAATCGAATCGGGCGTGTCTCGTATTTTGTTTTAAATATAGAGAAATAGGAAAAGATCCAAGGATATTCTTCACTGGATCGATCAACATTCACGTCCACACGCACACGCAACACCCATACATTCATGCAGAGCGAAGTCGAGACGCGGCGCGCGGGGCGATTCAAGAAGGACTTTTTGTGTGAGCGATTCAGTAGGTGAACGTGTTTGCGCACCGACACACGCTCGCGATTATTATTATTGCAACGCGATACGCGATAGATCGGCGCGCGTATCAAGGTGATACACTTTTCAAATCTTGCGCACGCACACACAGCCGAACTCATATTCCGAGTCGCCAGCGGAGTGGCACAGGCAAGGAGTTCTTGCGATGCGAATTGTGCTTCTCCCATTTCGGACCACGCCAAACCAAAGAGTGTATAATCAATCCACTTTTCGTTACTCTTATGAAATCACAACAACAACAAAACGCAAATCGAAATCGAAACACAAACGCTGATTTTAGCTGTGATGGCACAAGCCGAAATTTATTATTCCAACGACTATAATTATGAAGAAATTGAAAAATTGTTATGTAAATAGACAATTGACGAGTCGAAAAATACATGGCGATGTCCAAAGAAAGCGTGCACGCAATCGGAATCAATTATTTTCGATTTTTGATGAAAACCAGCGGAAAAAATAGGTCAATGCAGCGTGCTCATCATTAGCGCGGCGCGCGCCGCTCATTATCGTGCATTATTGCCGTTTATTGTCGGCGATGCCTCCCGGCTTTCCTCTCTCGCGAGCGGTCTCTGTGTGCTGCTGCCCCCGACTCGTGCCCGCGGATGGCGAAAAGCGGCGCTGTTCGCTCTCGGAATCGTTAAATTGTTAGATTGTTGTCGGGCCGAGCGCGCGCGCGCGCGCTGCACGCCGATTCGCGATTACGAAATCGAAACCTACTGGTCTAGATTTATTCATCCATACACAATATTATATTCCAGCATAATATATCGTAGATTACCGATGGCGCGCGCGCGCAGCTAGAGCCGCACCCTGAAAACTTCCGTGCCGAAGATATTCGCTCGGCGTTGCGTCACGCGCACCAGAGGTATAAGACAGTGGATCGAAATTTTGAAGGAAATTCGATCTTCGGTCGAAATTCAAAAATTCACGCGCAGATAATGAGCGACCTTAGATGTCTGCTGGTTTTAAGATTTGTGAAGAAGCCGAGCAATTCGTAGACAAGCACAAGGGTGTGGTGCCTGCCACCCACCGCTCGGTGGACTTTCTTGGACGCAAAAGTAAACTCAAAGTAAGTAACCTTTATGTGGTGGCGTTTGTGCTCGCGTTGCGCATGCAGCCTTCGCCGTGCGCGCGCCCGACCATTATTATTTATTACTGTTTCATTCATTCAATTTTCGTGCGCAGCACGAACGCCTAGATCGTCCGATGTTGCTCCAGCGTGCTTCGTGCGTCTCGTTAAGGACACTTAACACTCACTTTAGAAAAAAAAAAATTTTTTTGAATCAAAAATCAATTGAAACCCTTGAATTTTGCCCTCTGTGCGGTCTAATAATAATTTGTGCGAATCCTTAGTACCTGTCCCACCTGGTGCGATTATTTCGTAGGTGGTCCCATCTCAACTTCTAAGTCATCCTTAATCTGAGCATCTAAGTTCGGGTTACCGTAACGTATCTGGCGAGCAGTTTCGGTTGCGCGCGCGGACATGTCACATAATCGCCTGGGTAAAAAATCGGGGCATCGCCGGGTCATCATCGGACGTCAGGCGTTGCAGTAATCTAATATTTTCCGATCTGCCTAAGTGGTCTTATCGCGGCGTGCGCATTTGCATAATCGTCGCGCACGCAGAAACAAACGGCCACGATGAGCAATTGAGATGCGTTCGTGCGCAATAAAAATCCGAAAACGACGCGATGCCAGCGCGATACCCGCCTCTAAACGCAAACAAATGACTCCGAAGTACTTTCGGTGTCTACCACCAAGCAATCTGTCTCCTCCAGCAGCTTCTATTCTATTTTGTGGGTATACCTACGTACGTAGATCTTAATAAGCTCTGGCAGTAATAGCTGCTTAAAAAGGAGCGTGCATAATGTACCGCGAAACATGCGTCGAAAAACTATCCGAATCAACACAAAGCGTGAGGCTCCCAATTAAACGGAAACCAATTAAGTCGTATAATTCATAGCGCTGAGCATGTTGTTACGTTGCGGAGTATTGCACTCCGGCCGGGTCGGGCCGGTGTGGGCGTTCTGCCCGTTCGACTTTTCGCTCGCGCCACGCATACACACAGCGCCGTGGATAATTTTCGATTCCGTAATAACTAATAACTAAATCGCTTACGCTGCGTTAACGCACCCGCACACCAAGGCATACCATGTATGTGCAGATGCGCCAATTGTATTGTGAAGATGCCCCGCACGAATTTCGTTAACGAGTCCATCGTAGAAAACTAATCGCGCGAAGATTGATTGCTTTTTTAGCGCGCCGAGCGATGGAGAAGAGGAGAGCACCATCTGGCCGCGCTGGATGCGATGATGTTGCGCCAGCGAGGCGCGCTGAATAAGAAGTCATAAAGTCGATGAGCGAACCACGCCCTGGTTACATGCATGCAACGAGATGGAATTTCTGCATCCAAACGAGTTCAAATGGTACCGTGAGGAAAGAGTGCGCCGCGCCGGCCGAGCGCGCGAGAAAATCGCTTCCGCAATCTTCGGGCTGCTCTTTATTCGCATGCGAATGCCACACTCGGTCCGTTTACTTTTCCTCGCCGCTACTAAAACATTGATAACACGTGGAAAATTGTTTTATTTCCATTCAATTCGACTAAGTGCGCCATTTTCTCTATGTGTGTGTGTGTGGATATCTAAGGATCAATTACAGATTTCTGCATCTGCAGTTCACCTTCAATTTGATCAACTTTACGCGAAACTCGATTGCGGGACACCAAAATCTCCACTAGGAAGATTAGAATGGACATTGCAGTACCACCACTGTAGATGACGAAAGCAAAGTAACAATCTAGTAAGGAGACAGTTACAAAATTGGTACCCCCAGCGTAACATTGAGGTTGTTTAGCGAAAATAATACTTTTCACTCTGTGGTGCATACCACGTTCGAAAAACAACGCCAATCTGTATAAAAATAAATATAAACACAGAATAATTGAAGGTATGATATGGAGGGACGGTACATACCCTATTTTAATAATTTCCTTGACCGTTGAATCTTTCCGAATTGCAATCAGCAGGTGAGGCTCAGTAAGGTACGGTATCTCCACAAACCCGCACTTTTCGTTGTCCGCGTACAGCTTGTCGATCATCTTGTAGATCTTATCGCTGTTCCCGTGGAACGCGAAGAATTCACTTCGAATGCGATTGATGCCTTCGTCCAATGACATATAGTATTCGTCTTTGGCGAGTTTTTCTCGGAAGAGTTCTTGGTGATCCATTGAGTCTTGCTCCTGATATTAATCACCTCTTAGAAATTATTTTAGACAATTCTAAGTCTTACCTTGAAGATATCCCTGGAAAAATCTGCTTTGTCTACGCCTAATTTCACATTGAAGTCTTTGAGATCGGTCACACCATGAATTCGTTTTGTGGTACCACCTAGCAATGCAACAATATTCGCCAAATATGCTGTGTATAGGAACAAAATAAATAGAAACACCAGAAAAGTGGCGATTCGACCGCCGCCGCTTATTGGCTCTGCCTCACTACCCTGCTGGGCGATTGCAGAAATATGCATGTGAATCACATCTACCATTCTCGGATACATGATACGATATTTGTTGGATACCATGTCCGGGAAGCGCCACTCCACTTTGACGATACAGAAAATGGTCACCAGAATAATCGCCAATAATGCATAGGAAGCATACCACACGTTGAGTTCCAGAGGAAGGGTGAAGACATTTGATACTGCACTCAGGGATGGTGCACGAAGAAAAACGCTCGTCTATTGGGAGTTCTAGAAGTGATAAAGTCGTAGATAGTAAAATTTTCTCTGTCTACTCGTAAAGGATGCGCGATAAGCTCCTTGGACGTTGAAGAAATTTTCTGTAGAAAGTTTACATTCTGTGCAAAAGATTCAGCTGGGGTAAGATTAAGAAAATTGAAGACTTCGGAGAATAACTGGTAGTTGAAACGAGCAGTGGCTTCTGTATCTAGGTTTCTGCGAAAGTCCTAGAATAAAAAATTACTTGAAGTAAAAAATTCTTAAAAATTTATAAAAATTACTTTTATATTCAACGCAGTTTCTGAGGAAGCAACAAAGACCACTTCAATAGGTTGAGACTCTTCATTAAGCATAGAAACCTCACCATTTGGTACATTTCTAAAATTTTGCTCTGAATCATCCCAAAATGCATTAATCTGTGATTTCCAAGGAGATTTCAACTCCCGTTTGGTACATTTTACCACCCTAGTATTATTTTTACCAAAAACATAAACATTCACCAAGGGGGCATTGAAAGACCAATCTGGTACCTCCTCACAAGAGCTGGTACCCAAAAAGAGGGCATTCCGAATGTATTTTTGCTTGTCCTACCACCAAAAAACACCTTAATTTTAATTTTACATGTTTTTAGTTAAAATTTACCCTTTTTAGACGATTATCACACGAAATATCAACCAAAATCAAATTATTCTGCAACTCAGAGATGGTTTCTCCTAAAATGCTGTAGTACACACCTTCAAAGTGTAACTTCGCAGACAATTTGATGATTTTTTCTAAAAATATTCGTATTTTTAAAGTTTTTTTCGATTTTTTACTAAATTACCAGTTTTCCAACATAATAAACCACTTAGACACTTCCCGGGAAACATTTTCTTCGAGAATTTTCCTATTAGATCAAAATTCTGCGTCTGCCCAAGATGAATACATGTTATTACACCCAGGATACTCAACAGATGAAAATGCATTTCAACGACTTTACTAAATCAGCACCTGCGAGCTGAGTTTCCTCCTAATGGCACGCCGCAGACGTTTAAATACACAAGCTTCTTCATTAATTATTAGCATTAAGGTGTGATTAAGAAGGCGCTCACGCCACGCGCAAGAGCTGAAGCAAACGCTTCACGGTTTAATTAATGTTTTAGGCAGTTAATACGTAAAGTTAAGCATCTACAACGCATTGATTAAATATTAATCAAGCGTCTAATTGATACTTCTGCGTAACAAGTAAATATATAATGATGAGAGAAGAAATGTTATTGAAACCCTCCGAAATAATAGAATATTTTGTCGTATTTTGATCGATGTGTTATGTAAACAGGCGAGATCGCGTGCTCTAACGGTTCGGCCGGCAATAATAAGTGAAATGTAAATAAAAATATTGAAAGCGAAATTGGGCGCGCATTGTGGGGCTCGGCGAAGAGCGGGCGGACGGCCTTCGGTTTCGCGCACGCCGCTTCCACGATCAGCACGCCGATTGCCGCAATCGGGGCAACGAAGGAAAGTCGCGAGCGCGGCCGTGGCCCGCGGCGACGGCGTGGCCGCTCGCACGAATCCTCCGCACGGCGGGGCCTTGCGGTTGAGGACCAGCTGAGGTCCCGTTACCGTACTCCACCCGACCGCCGCCCGCCCATTAGACAACTAATCATAAACATTGTTGCGCGCGTAATCGGCTACCAATCATGCAGAACTGCGCGCAGAAAAATGCAACAATTACTTAATTAACTCTTCGGTGTGTTGATTTTTTTTTCTTCTTCTTGGTTTCTGGTAAACAGGACGAGTAGAAATTTCAGTCGGCCAACCGCAGCGATTTGAAACAAAGGAGCGAAAAACGATTTATTATTCGGCGGGCAAAACGCAGCGTCGTGCAGCTCCTTTTCGAACGTCGCCGGCTGAGACAAAGAGCGCGCGCGCGCGCCTGCCCGACGTAAAAGTCGAAGCGATAGTTATGAGTAAGGATACGCGCGGCGTACGAGGTAGCGCGAAGAAGCGAAAAAAATAAATGAGGGCATCGAGTGAAAGACCACACCTATACGAAGCGCGCCGCGAACACGCCGCATAACGAAATAATCGCGCGCGCAGGACCGGATTACTCTCTGACTCCACACTGCGCATGCGCGAGTTTAAACCGCGCGCCATGCGGCAACCAGTAGCATTACACTACGCGCACCGCGTGTGTCCTACACGCCTATGACTTAAGTCAAAAGGGCGGAGCACCCGAAGCATAATTAATCGTTTTATCACGCGTTTGGCGGTTTTACGCGCGCGAAGACCGGTCCTGCTGTGTTGGAGCATTATAAAGCGGACTGGGTATGTAATTACACAGTGGAATCATACAAGCATAACACCACTACCAGGACGATTCCGACCGCTTCGTGCGCACTCCGCACGCTAACCCAGTGCGCGGCGTACAGTTAGCAATCGAAATTGAAATGCTTACTATTTTATTTAATAGCGTGCTGTTTAGCTTTTATTCGATTGCTGCGCGCGCGCGCGCACGTAAATGCTACCAAACGCGATCGGTCTTACTTTTTATCTCTCTATTAATACAACGCATCATTGGAGACGCAAAAGGAGCATTCAGGCGGCCACAAAACGGGAATTATTGTGTTTAGGCCATTAGGGTACTTAGCGACTTCCGTTTTAGGTTATATGCGCTTTATTTGAATGGGAAACTTACTAAGAAGGGCAAAAATTCATTTTTTGTACAATATTAAAGGGAATACCATCAAAACGTCTTTTGAAACTTTGGCACCCAATTTGAGGTCAAACCCGGAAAAATAAAAGGGAATTGTTATGTTTAGACCATTGGGGTTAAAAGGAGCTTCAGTTTGAGGTTATACTCACTTAATTTGAGTAGGATACGTACCAAGGAGGACAAAAATGATTTTTTTTTGTGGAGTAAAATATGAAAGGGAATACCACTAAATCCTCTTCTGGAACTTTGGTTTCCATCAATTTGACTTCAAACCCGGAAGAACAAACCGAGCTTTAGAGAAAGCTTCAGTTTGAGGTTATACTCACTTAATTTAAGTAAGATATTTACCAAAATGGCAAAAATGATTTTTCTCTAAGATATGAAAGGGAATACCATCAAATCCCTTTGTGGGTCCTAGACATCCATCAATTTGACTTCTAACCCGGAAAACAAACGGATTATCAGAAAAGGCTTAATTTTGAGGTTATACTCACTTAATTTCAGTAAAATTGTTACCAAAAATGGCAAAAAACGATATTTTTCTCTATGATTTGAAAGGGAATACCATCAAACCTTCTTCCGTACCCACGGCACCCATCAATTGCCCGTCAAAAACACGGAAAACACGAACGGAAATTTCTTGCCAGTATCACTCGGTTTCTTAATTAATCAAATGTCATTCGCCTCACCATGGTACCACACGGCTGGTACACCGCTTTCATCCGGCTCGAAGAAGTTCGCGCCGCTCGCCGGCGCACGTTTCGCTAAATAGAGTCAAAACGAATAAAAGTCCGCGCGCTTATCACTTAATCTCGGCGCGGCGCTCGCTCCGTGGTGCGCGCGCGCGCGTCTCACTCCCAACAAAGCAACGAATTGTTATAATTATGCCTACGCTCCTCCACCATTGTGATGTCGCCCGGCAATTGCGCGCGGCTTTTATCATTCGGAGCGCTTAAGCGATGTTACCATTTAAGCGTCGCTTAACGGCGGGCGCAGCGCAAAAAAACACCGAATGTGCTCTGCGCCGGATCGCGGCCAACCGCCGCCATCGACGACGTCCATGAATGGCGTGTGTAATTTTATCAATGAAACAATCGCGCTGCGCGTTTATTTCGTTCCAGCGACGACGCGGAAATGCAGCCAGATTTGAAATCCGGAAAAATTACGTTTTAGGTAAGAAAATATTAGTGCTCTATCTTCATTCTAGATTTGTACGCGCATGCGCACTAGAACTAGAAACATGTAAGTAAGTATAGTGATGAAAAATGTTTCAAAGTTAAAATTATTAAGTTTCTGATTGTTTGCCGGAACCAAGCCGGTTGCGAACATAAAGTTCGACATGTGTGTTATCACCATCTTGAATCAGGAAATTTATCGCGCGTGCAATCCGAGTGCGCAGCGCCTGCTTCCTTCCATGCGCCGTTATCGCGCGAATTTACGATAAGGCACGTGCGCGAATGACATAACAATTAGCAATAACCGCATCGCATGGTAATAAACGACGGACAAAATGGCCGCAGCTGCACTGTTGTCACAGCAATAATAATAACAATAGCATCTGTAATTTCGCTTCGTGCGATTGATAGCTCACGTGATTATTGCCTCTACCTCTCTACACAACAACAACAAAGAAAGTCAATCAGATTTCACTCCACGAACAAAACAAAATGGCGGATTTGCATAAAACGCACTGGAAGTTGATTTGCATCCACATCCGCTCAGATATTTACATATTTTCATAATTAATTCACGCACCCGCTGCGCGCACGCCGCCATTTTGTCGCTGGAAAGTCGAGATACTCTTCCGATTTGGTCAACTTGTCATAAACACTCACCGTGTCGCATGCATGCAGTTGATACAAAAATAATCATGGCTGGATTCAATGCACTCGCGCGTTTTGCATGCGGATTTGCATTGAAATTGCTCGCCGCCTGTTTCACACTCGGCAGGCACCACAGGTTAACACGTTAACATAGAATGAGCATTGATCCTGTCACGCCGTCAACCACACAAATATCTTATTCAAGTGAAAATGCGCGCCGCGAGAGGAAATTTGGTATGTATTCAAATATAAGAACAATTGCAATCAGCAGATTTAAGGTTATGACTATCACCATCGTCTAGAAATGGGAGGTTGAAGCATATAGGGAGGTGTGTTTGGTTGTTGGCTCATGTATGATTGTGATGGCATCGATGACTGCTGATAACATGGTGGTCCCAGTGCAGGTGTGCTTGATGGTGGGCAAGACATCATCGACGGATGCTGCATGGTGAAGTATTGCTGATTGTGAACAGGGCTGGGGATCTGATTCTGCAAACTCTGGAAGGGCTCCGGGAAGGTCACC